GTCCTATTTATTGAATGTTTTAGAGCCCGACTTCACATCTGTAAACCCTTCTTGGTATCATCAAGCAACTTTCGTAGGAATACTAATGTATTAATTACAGAAAGTGCATTGTAGAGGTTCTTTTACCTAGGTTATACTTTCTACCTAACTTGCAAACTATGTTTACTTCCTACCTACTCTTCTACCTAGGTTTTGTTTTGTACCTACCCATCAGTTAATTAGGGTTTTAAAACTGAATAATTATCTTTAGATAGTTCTCTATTATTATTAATAAATAATAATATATCTTGAATAATTAGGGATTTATTTATTTTATGGGTAAATAAATAATATTTTTGTTCTACATGTCACACCTTACTTTTGGCACAAGCAAAACAGTTTTTGGCAGATATAAGATAACTTTTATTGAAAGCTCAAATTGGACAGTATAAATAATTAATTAATCTGATTTGTTTATAATATATTATTTGTAAAGTGGTTAAATCTGACAGCTGTATGCTATAGTGGTCCGATCTTAACAATTCGTTCGAAGATTGAAGTCACATCTTAAGCAATAATCCATACTAAAAACTTCCATACAAAAATTTATTTTGATCGGTCAGTTTCTATGATAGCTGTTTAATATAGTGGTCTGATATGAACAATTCGTTCGAAAATTGTAGCGATATCTTGGACAATCATCATCCATGCCATATTTCGTGAAGAAAACTTGTCATAAACAATTTTTTTCATATAAGAACTTTATTTAGATTGTCAGTTTGTATGGCAGCTATATGCCATTGAGAAAAATCAATGCCGGATTTCGTGAAGATATTTTATATAATGAACAATTTTTCCATGCAAGAACTTGATTCCGATCGTTCAGTTTGTATGGCAGATATATGCTATAGTGATCCGATCTGAACAATTTCTTCGCAGATTGCATTACTTCTTCCAGCAAAACTCATGCCAAATATTGTGAACATACCTCGTCAAATGAAAGAGTTTTCCATGCAAGCACTTGATTCCGATCGTTCAGTTTGTATGGCAGATATATGCTATAGTGATCCGATCTGAACAATTTCTTCGAAGATTGCATTACTTCTTCTAGCAATAACCCATGCCGAATTTCGTGAACATACCTCGTCAAATGAAAAAGTTTTCCATACAAACACTTGATTCCGATCGTTCAGTTTGTATGGCAGATATATGCTATAGTGATCCGATCTGAACATTTCTTCGGATATTGCATTACTTTTCTAGCAAAACTCATGCCAAATATTGTGAACATACCTCGTCAAATGAAAACGTTTTCCATGCAAGTACTTGATTCCGATCGTTCAGTTTGTATGGCAGATATATGCTATAGTGATCCGATCTGAACAATTTCTTCGAAGATTGCATTACTTCTTCTAGCAATAACCCATGCCGAATTTCGTGAACATACCTCGTCAAATGAAAAAGTTTTCCATACAAACACTTGATTCCGATTGTTCAGTTTACATGGCAGCTATATGCTATAGTGATCCGATATCGGCGGTTCCGACAAATGAGCAGCTTCTTTGTGAGAAAAGCACAGGTTCAGATCGATATCTCAAAAACTGAGGGACTCGTTCGCGTATATACAGACGGACGGACAGACAGACGGACATGGCTAAATCAACTCAGCTAATCATGCTGATCATTTATATATATATTTTATAAGGTCTCCGACGTTTCCTTCTGGGTGTTACAAACTTCGTGGCAAAATTAATATAAGTTAAGCCCCCATCTTTGGTATTTAACCGATGAAAAAAACTGTTATCATTATTTGTTGACGACGTAGACCAAAAAATGTAAATAAAAATGGTTAAAAGTTGAATCAAAAAGAATCCGACCAAAAATAGTTTTCAGTGCTGAGAGGAGTCAACGATACCAGTGAAAGAGCAGTAAAAATGATGCAGGAATTTCATGGCTTAATTGCAGTTGAAGAGGAGCAAAATCAATTCTTAAAAAGAAAATTTGTTGAATAACATTTTTTATATGTAAGATTAAAGAGTAATATGTTAAAAAAAATTTCAGCAAAATTTAGAGAATTACGAGTATATTTATACCTGTCTTATGGACGTTTTACAACAGAGCTTTTATTGTTCAAAAACTTAAAGCGTTTTCCACACAACGCCGTTTTCACCTTATAACTTCAGAACTCCTGCACCGTCCGCTTTAAAATTTTGATCAATATTTCTGTACATACAATGCGTTCAAAAAATATCGATGCAATTCGAAGAAAACTGTTTTTATTTTTTTACAAATTAACATTTGCAAGACAATGATTCTCTGCAGACTCTGTTCTCACTGGAAACAAGAAAATCACATTGTTACTTTGTATTGGCCATCCCAGTCACCAGACACCAATCTAATAGAGAATGTTTGGAGGTCGCTTCCTGTAGAATATACGGAAAAATTAGTTGCAATTTGCCATCAAAGATGTCAAACTATAATAGACATCGCGGGAGATTAGAGCAATTATGGAACAAACATCAGCTATAACGAAACAACGTATTTTCTATAATTAGAAAAGTTTTCCCAATAAACGCTACCATTTTTTATAGGTATTGTAATTTACTTATTTTCAAATTTGTTAATAATTTTTATTAGCAGATTTTTTTCGCAAAAATCTTTCTTGATACTGGTTAAAATTCAGATGAATGTGTCTATGAAACCAAAATGCTTTACGAATTAGCACCCTGCAGTAAGCATATTCTGCGAAAGTCATTAACAAGTTCGCGCCACTGAAAGTTATTGTTACTTTTATGTACATACATTTCATGTTCTTCTGTTATACTAATGTGCAGTATATATGTATATGCAACACATTACCTAGAGTTTAATATTATTGCTAACCCAACGGTTGTTTGCAACACCACAAATTAATACAGACAAGTAATGGCACCAATGTCTCGCCCACAAACAGAGTTATTGAAAAGTATATCAAATAATTTAACTCTGCAACCAATAATATAGAAAAATCATCTTTGGCAAATAGCTTCTCGTTGGAGGACTACCATATATTGTATTTTGTATATATTTTCAAATGAGCAGATCAGAATTTTAATTTTTTCATTAGAACAGATATTTTGAATGGCAACAGCTTATTTACTTTAAAATGGATTGCCTAAAAATATCGATGTTATGTAAGGGAATAACACGATTGATGTAATCGGTCCATAACGTTACCTTATACCCAAATAAAAAATGTACTGTTTTCGTCACTATTCAACCCGTAATTAGTGCTTTCTTCTTTGTAAGTTTTCATTTCGTTTTAGAGAGAAACTTATTACATAGAATTTTTTTCCTTGTTCAAGGGCAAATATCTTGAACTGTTGACCCACAACACAACGTACAATTTATTTTTTTATTTATTTCGATTGCACGCACTTCCCACTCATTTATTGTTATCGTCTATTTTTATACTCTCGCAACCTGTTGCTACAGAGTATAATAGTTTTGTTCACCTAACGGTTGTTTGTATCACCTAAAACTAATCGAGTTAGATATAGGGTTATATATATATAAATGATCAGGATGAAGAGACGAGTTGAAATCCGGGTGACTGTCTGTCCTTCCGTCCGTCCGTCCGTCTGTCCGTCCGTGCAAGCTCTAACTTGAGTAAAAATTTAGATATCTTTATGAAACTTGGTAGACATGTTTCTTGGTACCGTGAGACGGTTGGTATTGCAGATGGGCGCAATCGGACCACTGCCACGCCCACAAAACGCCATTAATCAAAAACAAATAACTTGCCATAACTAAGCTCCGCAATAAGATACAAGACTGTTATTTGGTACACAGGATCACATTAGGGAGGGGCATCTGCAGTTAAAACTTTTTTTTTAAAAGTAGGCGTGGTCCCGCCTCTAATAGGTTTAATGTGCATATCTCCTAAACCGCTAATGCTATTATAACAAAATTCACTGGAAGCAAATGTTTTTAGCACTTCTATTGACGGTGTGAAAATAGTTGAAATCGGGTGGCAACTCCGCCCACTCCCCATATAACGGTACTGTTAAAAACTACTAAAAGCGTGATAAATCAAGCACTAAACACGCCAGAGACATTAAATTTTATCTCTGGGATGGTATGAGATGACTTTATAGAAACCGCGTTCAAAATTAGACAGTGGGCGTGGCACAGCCCACTTTTAGGTGAAAACCCATATCTTGGGATGTGCTTAACCGATTTCAACCAAATTCGGTGCATGACGTTCTTTTCATTTTTCTAGTTTCATGTTATAGTGCGAAAATGGGCGAAATCGGACTACAACCACGCTTACTTCCCATGTAACACCATTTTCAATTCCATCTGATTCTTTCACTTTCCACTATGCAAATCAGGTAACAATGATTATATCGGGGTAAAACTTTGCGTGAATAATGCAATTAAAGTATGCCACCTTGCGGCCAAAAAATGTCTAAATCGAACCAAAACTGTTCAAACCCCTAAGTACTAAATATGTGGACCCCAGTGCCTATAGTTGACCTTCTACCGAAAATATTAGTCAATCCACAAAGAAATCTCAAACGAGTATACCATTTGACTTTGCGAGAGTATAAAATGTTCGGTTACATCCGAACTTAGCCCTTCCTTACTTGTTTTCATTCATTATTGCTGCTTCTCAATAGAAAATAAGAAAGAAAAAGATTCCAGAACAGCCTATCCACGCAATTTTATTCGCTATGCTTATAAAAGATGTCCGAAACCCAATATAATTATATTGGAAAGTATTGTAACTTTTTAAAATAATATGATCTCCCATATATGAAATGACAAAAAAATAAACAGCGTTAAAATGAATTTAAAGCACGTTCCATGAAACAAGTTGGTACGGAAAGCTTATCTAAATGTAACGAACAGAATATCTTAATAATAAATACAATACAATAATAAATTCTAAAAAAGCAATTTGTAAAAACTCGATAAGTAATTGTTTTATATATAACTCTAGTATATAAGATGATTGCCCAGCAAAAATTACTAATCTATTTATGTTCGACCCTGTTTATGTACATATGTATGCGGATTCAAGTATATTTAAATATGCCTACCAACTGTTGACCAACTCTGAGCAACACAGCAAGTTAAGGGAGTCAGTCTTCTGACCGTTCCTAACTCTACCTCCACACTTAAACCTAGTGCCATGCTTCACAACCCAATTGACCATCGGCATTTCCCGAACACTTGAGCATTCGGTGTGACCGCGGTTCGTTATTGCGAGACCTTTGTGTTTTGGCCATTTGGTGTCCGATAGTCGTAGTGTATGCCCGCAATTAGACTTCAATTGCTATACCAACGGCAACGGATAACGTGTTAATATACGGTGAGCGCGTTGATTCATTTAGTTCCGTACAATGTCGGTGAAATAGAATTCGCTTTGACACAAGCAAAAACTCGTGTATCGATTAACTGTGCCCAACTAAGTGACCTATGACCTTTAATTGTATGTGTTTAAATTTTTATTAATAATAAAAATACAAAATAAAATGAGCTCTATTTGAAGTGTGCAATATGTTTAAAACTTTGTGTGCCGATCTAAGTGATTTTAAAAAGTTTAAAAAATAATTGGGTAGTTCTGTCAGAAAATTATGAAATTTGACGGCCAACAAAATGCCACAAGTCCTGAGCACTCTCCTCCAGATTCTTCTATAGCAGAAAAGCCTTGCCCTTACCTTGACTCTGGACCCAACAACAATTCCAACACCACAACAATTCCAATTCTCAATGAAATCGATATAGGCTCAACAAATTCCATAAGACCGGATCTAGAGAGCAATTTTAATACCACAGCACGTCCTCGAAATTTCTCATTCGCCAGCACCTACCGACCGAACATCAACACTTTCAATAACGAGATCGACAATTCTCAAAAACTAGATATATATCCTTATAAGCCTATTACTGCCTTTACCGTCGTTAACAGCGAAGATAAGCCTAACGCAATTGTGCGCCCGATACGTCGTTTCGACAATCCGAAGTTGGCGTTGTCTGGTTATCAAGATGTTACAAATGGAGAAGGTATTCTATGGTCACAACAGCGGGATTATCACCTAAAGGATAATTTAAACTGCACCACATCGAAGAAAATGGCCCATTTTTCTTTGGTAAGACCAACCATAGAGAGTACTGAGCAGTTAAGAGCCAAACTAAATCGAAAGCTACATAATTTGCATGACGCAGCTGGTCAAGAGGCATGGACCAAGTCTAGACACTCCTCAAATGTAGGATATTACACTATTATTTGTGATTTAAAAATTGTCTAATGCTAATTATAAATGTTACATATGTACAAAATTGTTTCTTAAACGTTACATACAATATTATCTATATAATATACTTATTGGAGTAATGTTTTTACAATAATTTAATTTGTATATATGTATTTATTTATTCACATTTACTTACATATTTACATGAAAACGTTTAAAAGCAAATCACGCTTTTATGGTAAATATTATTTTTAAAAAACTTTGCTTTAAAAATATCACTCAAATACATATAATATTAATAGTAACTAAAACTTCTTCCATCAATTGCCACCTTTTCGCTCACTACGATTGTTCATCACACTTCTAGGCAAGTCAACATGATAATGTTGTTAAACGACCCCTCTTCATCACTACAGTACCCACCGGTATTTTCTTGCCACCTCCGAAAGAGCCGCCGTTACCTTGGTTTCTAAAGCCTCACCTATATGCATATTCCTCACATCCAGTAGTACTGGCAAGTGGCAGTGCCGCAGCATTCGACGGCAATAATGACAAAATTCAGAATAGCTCCGTTGCGTCAGCAAAGATCTCCGCTTGCGATAAAGTATTGTCGCCAAACCAATTAAAAAGTATAAGTGCTAACTCTAAAGCGAATACTATTTCGAGTACCACTCTAAACCGATCTACGAATGTTATTGCCACGACAACAAATGGCTTACGGCGTGGTCAACCATCCCCTCCATCCCGATATTCTTTGACGGGTGGTGTAAGCCTCACCAAACAACAATTTCGAGAACAAATTGAACAGCGTCGTGCAAAAAGGTAATAAGCTCAATGACACTTGTTATAAACTACTTTGCAACTAGTATGAACCACAAGGTTTAATCGAAAATATACCAGTTTAATACTATTTTAAAATTTACTTAAAAAATAGTTCAAACATGAACTCAAACTAAAATCACAAAGTAAGATACAATTATAAGTTACATCCATATAGGTATTCTTGTAATAAAATAATATATTTAAGCTAAACTTTATATAATATTGATGGCAAACAAAATAACTTTCAAGTAAATCCCAATATGAGTCAAACCTATTAAATCTAGTAGTTTTCTGAGCAGTTAGATATGATACTTATAGTTAACTAGTAATTTTCTTAATTTTCATGACCTCCATGCTCAGCCACGCATATGCGACACTTAATTAGAAAATTATTCATTGCGGCTTGAGGGGTTGAAGTCGGGATTGCCTCAACTATCGTCTTAATGGACTGCTTCAATTCAGTCAGATTTCTGGGTTTTGTTTTGTACACCTCTTGCTTGACATCACCCCATAAATAAAATATTGGTGCAGTCAAAAAGGTCAGGTGACCTTGGGGCCAGCGGAAAGTGAAGTTTTTGATATTAATTTGTTTTCAAATTTTCGTCGGAGCTCCGCCATAACCGGTTTGGCATGTGTGCCATTGCTTGCTCATTCATCTTAAAATAACGGTGCCCATTGACAGTTACTGTTACATCGTTTTCCTCAAAGAAGTATGGGCCGACCAATACACTTTGATGAAACTACGCACCACACAATGGCTCGGTGAAGTTCCGTCTCGTAGATTATTTCTGGATTTGATTCACCCCATATACGGCAATTTTGCTTGTTATAAACAGGCAATTTATCAAGTTGTTGTCTTCTTCGGCCATTTCAATAATTTTTTGGCAAAATTCCAGGCGAATAGGCAAATCTAGAGGATTTAACCGGCTTGGTATTTGAACTTTGTCCGAAAACAGGTTTAAGTCATCATGAATATTCCGTTGTAATGACCGCCTGCTAACTCCAAGTTGCGCCAATAAACTCTAAACTCTTGGATTTTTCTTGAACACGAACATGCGAATCTCGATGGTATGGTCTTCTTGCGATATTTACCAACTTCATAATGGTCCATCTACTCGGGGGATTGGCTGCCAAAATCCCGTCTGAATTCCCTTTGGACGAAAATGACGGACGGCAAAGCATGATACCGCTGCACTATACAAACCCTCTTTTCGGTACCCAAGCATTAATTTAAAAAAAAATTAAATCCCATCCAAAAAAAAGGTCTATTACTCTGTATTACGAAATCTGCACCCGCGTTATCAAAATTTTAATTCTATTTACAGCTATTATTGCTTTGGAAACAAGAATATTTTTACTAGTATTTTATATTTAAAAGAACTAGAGATCAAATAACAAACTATATAAGTATAACCAACAAAAGCATTTACTTTTGACATTAAGCTAAATATATTTGACAACATGTTTACACGCGATTTTATTGAGATTACTCACACATTGGATATAAACGTTAAAACGTTTGAATAAGAAAATTTAAAAAATTTCTTAAATGTGCTGAGATAATTCGTGGATCAATTTAATTTATTTTCGCCACAGGAAAAGTAGGAAGAGTATTGACCATTTTATTTACGTGAGTAAGAAAGTACACGCTTTCTTGGGATATCTCACAGATCACTAAGGGTACCTGCAGAGTGAAAGCCGAGCCGAGCGTAAAGCTGATTTTGATCAGCGCTGATCAATTTTACGTACCGCAGAGTCGATACGAGATTCATCGCAGAATTCCACGCGTACTTCGCTATTATACAAGTACTCGTACATGTTTGCTTTTTAATTTAGTAATTTTTTTTGTGCTTATGTGGGTGAAAATAAAAGATGAATTGCTCAGATAAATAATATTTTGCTTCCAGTTAAACTAAGTATTTAAAAATACTTGTATATATATGTTGGAAACATGAAACTATTACCATATATTAGAATATATAATATGTGAGCGTTGGTTTTTTATGGTACCCAAAACTCCTAAATATGGGTCACCAGACCAGAGCCCAGCGTAATTTTGTTAAGGCTTCTAATATCAATCCCAGTTTCTTTACCAAAGGTGCGTTTACCGGGATATGTATTTCAACCGTAGTCTGACAAAAGGTGGACAAGAAAAGTGGAAGTGCCTAGATGATTCCACCGCCTCCTCATCCATACGGCTTGGGTCAGATGCATCCGACAAGATACATACATATGTAGCCAAACCGCGTGTGAGCCCCTTGGGCGTAGTCAAAACATATAAAATTGCGGCGAGGTGAACTATACTAAGAGCAAAGAGTTTAGTGGACCTTTTACGCTCCACTCGCTGGTTCTGGTTGCTGACCAGCGTTTGCCGATCGCAGGGGATGTGTAGTAACGAAACGTTCTCAATATAGTGAAATTGAGGTCTGTGTACCACTTATGTAGCTTAACTAATGGCTTAGTTATAACACTTTACAACATTTCAGTTAACGGTATTTCAGTTTAGAAATAGCCCGAATTAGCTCATCTGGAATACTACCCAATAGAGTTCCAAGGAATATATGTACCAAGCTTTATCAAGATCAATTGTAAGGACCAAGGGACAGACAAACAACAGAAAAATCAACCCTTCATTCTGATCATTTTGATATAATAACATTCAATAGTATAAAAATATTATATACGAATTCAATATTCGTTATTCTATCAGTTTAGTCGATATTTTTGGGAATAAAATCAGCCATAGACGGGCTACAAGTTCGGTATCCGTGGGCTTGAATAGTTATAGATATATATTTGAAATGTTTTTCTATAAAAAGTGTCAATTTAAAAGGCAAAAATTGTCCAAAGTTTTATTTCGATATCCTAATTTATTCTAGTTAACTGCCCTCCGATGGAATTTAATATTATATTACAATATTTCCTATTCAGTAGGGTTAGTTGTAGCCCGTGATGATGGAGATTTCGAGTCTTCGAATTCCAAATTTTAACAACGAAATTGTTGAATAAATATAATAAAATAGAAATTGTATAAAACATGTCTTAGCATCCATGAAAGCACTGCGTCGCAATTAATTTGTTACATTTCAATGCACGAAGATTAACAAGGGTTCTGGTATAGAAAACAATTAAGCAGCAATTCTTCCGATACTTTCATTCTTTCGTCTACTAGCACTGCGTCGCAATTAATTTGGTACATTTCAATGCACGAAGATTAACAAGGGTTCTGGTATAGAAAACAATTAAGCAGCAATTCTTCCGATACTTTCTTTCTTTCGTCTACTAGTATGTGTCTTACATCAAAACTGTCAACCAAAAAACAGTTTTTTTAAATTTTAAGTAAATACAGATTACAAAGGTGAAGTTATTGAAGAATTTAAGATCGTATGCTACCAAGACTTATCTTAAAGAAAAATATAAAAAAAGTCTCTTCCGCGATGAAAGTTTATGATCAAATGTGATTTTCCAGTATGTTAAATTTAAGTTATCGTGTGTATTAGATGTATTATTAGATTATACTAAATAGTAGAGATGTACATTAAAACAGAGGTCAGAGAAAGTGTTAGGTTTAAGAATGTTTTTTTTTTCTCTCTACACTTTGCTTTGCTTCATATTAACATCTAGAGGTTTGACTTAAAAAAAGGGACGAGATCGATTCATATTATATCATTGTGCCTATTTTGATGAAATTTTAAATGTTAACATAATACAAGTAGATAACTCATTTCATTTCGTTGCAGAGATATTCCTCCACAAACTTACCGCAATGTAATGTATGACCGTCGAGTAATACGTGGATCCGTATTTGGTACGCAGCAACTCTTGGTAAGAATACCAAATAAATACCATTTTGCAAATTTAATATTTATATCACTCAAATTAAAATATAATGACAATGATTTATGTTTATTAAACCATTTCAAATTTGCGAAAGAAGATTTACGGATTGTTTTCATTTTTGTGTGAAGAACTATGTATGTACTATGTTCTCTTTGTAAGAGCAAAAACAAAACGTGTGTTCAAGAATTTAGACCGTTGATCTTATGCAATGAACAAAATATATATATAAGAAGTATCTGAGCAGTGCATGAGCAGAGTCTAAGCTCGAGTGTAACCAAACATTTCAAGTGCAAAGAGGGAAATACCTTCAGATGTTGTCAAAACTTTATTTTAAACAAGTATGGAAGGTCTAGGTTGGGTGTAACCGAACATTTTATACTCTCGCAAGGTAAAGTGATATACGAGATTTTCGTATTTATTTTAATTAACAGTCGGAAGTATTGCATCCATTATTTATAATCACAGGCCAGAACATACACTATTATTAGAAAGAGATTCTTTCGGAATTTTATTAAGATATCTTACATATTGACCCATAGATGCGCTATAAAGTTTACCAGAAGTTTTAAAATATTTATATTAGGTATATGGTATTTTTAGCACAAGGGCATGCTGTTATCCAAAAAATATTCTTCCCGAATATCAATATTAGAACTCACAGACTGACCGATATGTTTGGTAAAAAAATTAACCTTATGCATTTGTGTATTTGGTGTCTGGGCCCTTGAAAAGTTATAGACCAAATTCGACAATTTTTGGGCGTAAGATTAAATACTTTGAGGACACTATTTGTGCAAAGTTTTATTCTAATCATTGATGTTTTATTTGTAACTGTGAAGTGAAAGAATCTGATGGAATTTAAAAGTTTATTGTATGGAAAGTAGTAGTGGTTGTCAACCGATTTCGCTCATGTTGATAAGCTCACATATCAAAATCAGTCAAGTTGTTCCCGAGGTATAGGATTTCACCTAAAAATGGGCGGTGTCATTTTCAAGAAATGCTAAAAAGACTTCATCTTAGCAAGTTTGATGGAGTTAGATTCAGGGGTTTGGAATATACAAATATATAGATTTAACCGTTTAGAGAGTGGGACCACGCCCACTTTACAAATATGTTCAGCCCACAAGCGCCTTCACTACTGCGATTCCCTGTACCAAATTACAGTTTTTTATCTTAAGTTTTGTGGGCGTGGCAAAGGCCCGATTTGCACGGACAGACAGATATCTGGATTTGAACTCGCTTCGTCATCCTATTCATTTATATATGCATAACTCCATATCTATCTCGATTAGTTCTAGGTGATACAAACAACCGTTAGGTGAACAAAACTATTATACTATTGGCAACATGTTGCGAGAGTATAAAAATGTTGCAAAAGAATTCAAATGTTACAAAATTGTTAATAAAAATACAAGATAAATTAATTAATCATTTATGTGATAAAAACGAGAGAACACCCGTACTGGGTATTAAAAAGAAGTTTATTTCTGAGTCACTATGTTATCATTATTCTGATTGTAGAGAGGTATTTAACGAATATAAAGGTAAGGCTAGAGCTAAACCGTTACAGTTACCAAAGATTAATAAAAATATATCTTACAAAGACTCGAAATATATAGCAATTAAATACTACAATATGTTACCGCTGAGTCTAAAGTTGTTAAATATTGAAAATAAAGCAAGCAAAAAGAAAGTAACTGAGTGGATTGTAGACACTGATATTTAAAAATACTATGTTTTCTTTTGTTTTTCAATTATAAATGACATTTGTTATTAATAAATTAGTACTTAATTATAATAAACTAATATTACCAGGCCTATGTACAGGTGTTTTGTAACACCTCTATAGGTGCATACTTTGTATGTAATATGTACTTTGTATCCTGGGATAAATAAATAAATAAATTCAGCGTTCATTATTCGACAAAATTGTAAATGGATTACAATCAAATTTGCATTATTAACTTGTTACAGTTTTTTAAGTATATTTTACTTCTCGTCAGCGAAAATTATATTAAAATCAACTTTAAATGACATATACACAATACATGACAGATAACAGACAGAACATGACAGAATCTCTTTTACGACCTCTACTCGACGTCGTTTTTGCCAAAGATTAAGGTCTTTTGGTTTCTTTAACTTTTTCGATGTTATCGTTATTATAAGAGGTGAATGGACAACTCGCATAAGGCAAATTCTCAATGACTTAATGACTTTCACTGAATGCTTTGCGTCATTTAAATACTTGTGTTCCTGATAATGGAAATTCCCCAAAACACTACTGCAACATTTTCAACGATTCTGTAGCCGTGATTTGATTGGACACAAAATCGCGTCGTAAACAAACAGCTGCCAGACACACATTAATGGCAACACGTGAAAAAAGGCCCCCGGCTTTGATCTTTCAAGATTGCGAGAGAATAAAATGTGATTATTATTTAATACATACTTGTATTTCCCATTTTCCTACAAAAGCCAATAACTATCTAGACCATATTTATATACATATGTACATATATTTTGAACACTGCGAGAATACCGATTAAATAATGTTTACTATCGATTCATATAGTTGAAATCGAATAGTGCCTAAACTTTATTTAGGTATTTGGATGCCAAAGGAACGCATGCACAAAAAACTTCATCAAATTTTACCACAAAATCATATTACAACTAAATTATATGATCGTTAATGTTTTTAAAATATCTTACATATTGACCGTTATATTCGGTAAAAGGTCAAAAGCAGTATACTGGCTCTATTGGTCTAAAGCGATTTCATACTTAAATTTCGATCATTGCGCTACAATTTCTCACATTAAACTAAAATATCCTCGAAAAAAAAATTTCCTCACAAGTTTTTTAAGACAATTCATACTTTGAACACAAAGACGACTGCACCTTAGCCTTGACGACACGACTGCACGACAGCGAAATTTTCCTGTCTTCAAATGTCGACTTGAATAAAGCTTCTAGAACATCTTGAAGACAGCAGCGACATATCAAACAGCTGATGTACAAAATTTCATTGTTACCGTATATAGGTCAATTTATTTTTTTCAAATTATCAATTGTTATTACAAAAGTTATTACAGAGCTGTTTTACCACTCTGTTGGTAAAATAACTTTAGACTTTTTAGAGCTTTGAAAAATAAGAAATTGTTTCAGTAATGGAGAAGCACGCACAATTGTGCATTTTTTCGCCCTTACAACTGTCGGTACTTTACGCACAATCGACTACGTTTTAGCATTAATTGATGAAAAACAAAATTATGTATGGTATATACCTACATAAATATATCTCAAATCTCTTCACAGTAAAATTATTAATTGCGACTTAAAGCATACATATTTTAAGTATAATATATACTTATATAATATACAGTTTAACAGCACATGCACAATACCCAGCAAGTCACAGCTACCGAAACTCCAATACATTGAAAGAATTAGCACTAGAACTAAACATACACACCGTACAACTCATAAGACCTTGCATAAGAAAGGGATGAACTATTACACGTACACAAGAGTTTCGGTAAGAAATATCAATTGAGCCTTAGGAAACTCATAGAAACTTTAACAGTTTGAGTAATTAACCGTTGATTTAATTGATGCGCGGCGTTTTTGCACCACGGACACGTAGTATGTAGCTAATTATTAAGGCTTGGTGACTTATTTGTTGATTTATGTACACATAAGCAGTAGTACAAAACATGTATTATAAAATCAAATTAATATACATATTAAAAATACGTTTATGTTTAGAATATTTATTCGAATTTGATTAATTTTGGCACTTTCAACTACATTTTGGACTAATTTAAAACTGTCAAATCCCATCTCAGAATTGTTTTAACGCCTGTGAAGTCGTGCTGCTGTCTAAATAACTGCCCATAAGGGGTTACATACAATTCGAATTTTTAAAAAAATCTACTTTTTTCTTCTTATTTTACTTACTTCTGTATATTTAAGAATACACACAGAAAATTTCATATCGTTCCAGTGAATATTTTCGAAGTTACACGCAAATTTGAAATGCGTTTCAGAGTGCTTGGAAGTACAAGGTCGGAGCGGCAGCGACTTCCTGAACGCTGTCCCCCTTATGCACCTGCCTATTGTAAATACTCCCTTCTAATGCATTTAGATGTGTAAATCAACAGTGTGACTGTTTTGTTTTTATACCTGTAATGTAAGTTTTTATTTTTCGAACCCTAAACTAGAATATATTTAAGAGTGGTAGTCAGCAGGCTAAGCCAAGCAGTAAACTTGTGAGTTCGTTTATATTTTTTGTGCAATTTTTCGTGAAAATGAAGTCTTCCAGAGAAATGAGAAAATCTATTAACATACGTAAGTCGAGAACAAAAAAGCGCAAATATGTTTTTAATCCAAAAACAGCTGAAACGGATGAAAGTAGTGTTAGTGCCACGGCGAAAAAATTTAAAGAACACAGGAAATCTCAGTTACACATATCCGTCTGTTGAGTATCGCATTTTTATTTTATAACGGTATTTTCAGCAATTTCTTAATATGTAAAATGTAAGATCTGTAACGGAAATGTCAAGTTTCAAACTGCTTCTGAACGAGGACTTGGTTTTAAAATTGTTTTGCTGTGTGCAGATCGTAACATTAATTAAAAAATAATTCTAGTTCTTTTGTCGCGCACTCTTATGAAATAAATCGACGATTTTTATTTGTCATGAGAGCCTTTGGATTAGGTTAAAAGGTGCAGCATAATTTTGTGGATTAATGGACATGCGAGCTTTTATATCACAACTCACTTACGATTTGATAATAAATAATATTCACTCCAGTGTAAAAACAGCCACCGAAAAACTTTTTCAACAGAAAATTTGACTTGCGAACATCAACGTGATGAACATTCGACAGAATTAACTGTATCTGACGATGGCACTTGGAAAAAGCGAGGGTATACTTCCTTGTACGGTGTGACATCATTGATCGGATACTATTCTGGTAAA